TCCACGCGGTGTCAGGAACCAGCGTTGGGGTCTTCACGACACACAGCCGCCGATCGTTCGAGGTTAAACTATACACGCGGTGTGAGGAACCAGCGCTGGGGTCGTCACGACACACACACACAGCCGCCGATCGTTCGAGGTTAAGCCATCCACGCGGTGTCGGGATCCAGTTCTGGGGTCGTCACGACACACAGCCGCCGATCGTTCGAGGTTGAGCCATCCACGCGCTGTCAGGAACCAGCGCTGGGGTCGTCACGACACACACAGCCGCCGATCGTTCGAGGTTAAGCCATCCACGCGGTGTCAGGAACCAGCGCTGGGGTCGTCACGACACGCACACACACAGCCGCCGATCGTTCGAGGTTGAGCCATCCACGCGGTGTCAGGAAACAGCGCTGGGGTCGCCCGACACACACAGCCGCCGATCTTTCGAGTTGAGCCCTATCCCAAGCGGTGTCAGGCAGGGACCAGCGCTGGGGTTCGTCACGACACACACATCCGCCGAACGTTCGATGGTTTGAGCCATCCACGCGGTGTCAGGAACCATCGCTGGGGTCGTCACGACACACCAGGCCGCCGATCGTTCGAGGTTGAGCCATCCACGCGGTGTCAGGAACCATCACGACACACGCAGCCGCCGATCGTTCGAGGTTGAGCCATCCACGCGGTGTCAGGAACCAGCGCTGGGGCCGTCACGACACACTAAGCCGCCGATCGTTCGAGGTTGAGCCATCCACACGGTGTCAGGAACCAGCGCTGGGGTCGCCACGACACACACAGTCGCCGATCGTTCGAGGTTGAGCCATCCACGCGGTGTCAGGAACCAGCGCTGGGGCCGTCACGACACACCCACACACACAGCCGCCGATCGTTCGAGGTTGAGCCATCCAAGCGGTGTCAGAAACCAGCAGTGGGGCCGTCACGAACACGACAACACGCACCACACAGCGCCGATGGTTTCGAGGTTGAGCCATCCACAGCGGTGTCAGAACCAGCGTTGGGGTCCGTCACTACACCCACACACACAGCCGCCGATAGTTCGAGGTTGGGCCATCCCCGCGGTGTCCAGGAACCAACGCCGGGGCCGTCACGACACACACAGCCGCCGATCGTTCGAGGTTGAGCCATCCACGCGGTGTCAGGAACCAGCGCTGGGGTCGTCACGACACGCACACACACAGCCGCCGATCGCTCGAGGTTGAGCCATCCACGCGGTGTCAGGAACCAGCGTTGGGGTCGCCACGACACACACCGCCGCCGATCGTTCGAGGTTGAGCCATCCACGCGGTGTCAGGAACCAGCGTTGGGGTCGTCACGACAAACACACACACAGCCGCCGACCGTTCGAGGTTGAGCCATCCGTGCGGTGTCAGGAACCAGCGCTGGGATCGTCACGACACACACACACAGCCGATGGTTCGAGGTTGAGCCACCCACGCAGTGCCAGGAACCAGCGCTGGGGTCGTCACGACACACACACACACAGCCGATCGTTCGAGGTTGAGCCATCCACGCGGCGTCAGGAACCAGCGCTGGGGTCGTCACGACACACACAGCCGCCGATCGCTCGAGGTTGAGCCATCCACGCGGTGTCAGGAGCCAGCGCTGGGGTCGTCGCGACACACACACACAGCCGCCGATCGTTCGAGGTTGGGCCATCCACGCGGTGTCAGGAACCAGTGCGGGGGCCGTCACGACACACACAGCCGCCGATCGTTCGAGGTTGAGCCATCCACGCGGTGTCAGGAACCAGCGCTGGGGTCGTCACGACACGCACACACACAGCCGCCGATCGCTCGAGGTTGAGCCATCCACGCGGTGTCAGGAACCAGCGTTGGGGTCGCCACGACACACACCGCCGCCGATCGTTCGAGGTTGAGCCATCCACGCGGTGTCAGGAACCAGCGTTGGGGTCGTCACGACAAACACACACACAGCCGCCGACCGTTCGAGGTTGAGCCATCCGTGCGGTGTCAGGAACCAGCGCTGGGATCGTCACGACACACACACACAGCCGATGGTTCGAGGTTGAGCCACCCACGCAGTGCCAGGAACCAGCGCTGGGGTCGTCACGACACACACACACACAGCCGATCGTTCGAGGTTGAGCCATCCACGCGGCTTCAGGAACCGCGCTGGGGTAGTCAGACACACACACAGCCGCCGATCGTTCGATAGGTTGAGCCATTCCACGCGGTGTCAGGAACCAGCGCTGTGCCGCCACGACACACACAACACACACACACACACAGCGCCGATCCGACGAGGGTTGAGCCATCCACGCGGTGTCAGGAACCAGCGCTGGGGTCGTCACGACACACACACACACACACACACAGCCGCCGATCGTTCGAGGTTGAGCCATCCACGCGGTGTCAGGAAACAGCGCTGGGGTCGCCACGGCACACAGCCGCCGAGCGTTCGAGGTTGAGCCATCCACGCGGTGTCAGGAACCAGCGTTGGGGTCGTCACGACACACACACACAGCCGCCGATCGTTCGAGGTTGAGCCATCCGCGCGGTGTCAGGAACCAGCGCTGGGGTCGTCACGACACACACACAGCCGATGGTTCGAGGTTGAGCCACCCACGCAGTGTCAGGAACCAGCGCTGGGGTCGTCACGACACACACACACACAGCCGATCTTTCGAGGTTGAGCCATCCACGCGGCGTCAGGAACCAGCGCTGGGGTCGTCACGACACACACACACACAGCCGCCGATCGTTCGAGGTTGAGCCATCCACGCGGTGTCAGGAACCAGCGCTGGGGGCCGCCACGACACACACACACACACACCGCCGATGGTTCGAGGTTGAGCCATCCACGCGGTGTCAGGAACAGCGCTGGGGTCGTCACGACACACACACAGCCGAGCGTTCGAGGTTGAGCCATCCACGCGGTGTCAGGAACCAGCGCTGGGGTCGTCACGACACACACACACAGCCGCCGATCGTTCGAGGTTGAGCCATCACGCGGTGTCAGAACCAGCGCTGGGGTCGTCACGACACACACACAGTCGTTGAGCCATCCACGCGGCGTCAGGAACCAGCGCTGGGGTCGTCACGACACACACACACACAGCCGCCGATCGTTCGAGGTTGAGCCATCCACGCGGTGTCAGGAACCAGCGCTGGGGCCGCCACGACACACACACACACACACACAGCCGATGGTTCGAGGTTGAGCCATCCACGCGGTGTCAGGAACCAGCGCTGGGGTCGTCACGACACACACACACAGCCGCCGATCGTTCGAGGTTGAGCCATCCACGCGGTGTCAGGAACCAGCGCTGGGGTCGTCACGACATACACGCACCAGCCGATCGTTCGAGGTTGATCCACGCGGTGTCAGGAACCAGCGCTGGGGTCGTCACGACACACACAGCCGCCGATCGCTCGAGGTTGGGCCATCCACGCGGTGTCAGGCACCAGCGCTGGGGTCGTCACGACACACACACAGCCGCCGATCGTTCGCGGTTGAGCCATCCACGCGGTGTCAGGAACCAGCGCTGGGGCCGTCACAACACACACACACACACAGAGCCGCCGATCGTTCGAGGTTGAGCCATCCACGCGGTGTCAGGAACCAGCGCTGGTGTCGTCACGACACACACACACACAGCCGCCGATGGTTCAAGGTTGAGCCATCCACGCGGTGTCAGAAACCAGCGCTGGGGTCGTCACGACACACACGCACAGCCGCCGATCGTTCGCGGTTGAGCCATCCACGCGGTGTCAGGAACCAGCGCTGGGGTCGTCACGACACACACACAGCCGATGGTTCGAGGTTGAGCCATCCACGCGGTGTCAGGAACCAGCGCTGGGGTCGCCACGACACACACAGCCGCCGATCGTTCGAGGTTGAGCCATCCACGCGGTGTCAGGAGCCAGCGCTGGGGTCGTCACGACACACACAGCCGCCGATCGTTCAAGGTTGAGCCATCCACGCGGTGTCAGGAACCAGCGGTGGGGTCGTCACGACACACACAGCCGCCGATCGCTCGAGGTTGAGCCATCCACGCGGTGTCAGGAACCAGCGCTGGAGTCGTCACGACACACGCAGCCGCCGATCGTTCGAGGTTGAGCCATCCACGCGGTGTCAGGAACCAGCGCCGGAGTCGTCACGACACACACACACACACAGCCGCCGATAGTTCGCGGTTGAGCCATCCACGCGGTGTCAGGAACCAGCGCTGGGGTCGTCACGACGCACACACAGTCGCCGATCGTTCGAGGTTGAGCCATCCACGCGGTGTCAGAAACCAGCGCTGGGGTCGTCACGACACACACACACACACACACAGCCATCGATCGCTCGAGGTTGAGCCATCCACGCGGTGTCAGAAACCAGCGGTGGGGTCGTCACGAACACAGCCGCTGATGGTTCGAGGTTGAGCCATCCACGCGGTGTCAAGAACCAGCGCTGGGGTCGCCACGACACACACAGCCGCCGATCGTTCGAGGTTGAACCATCCATGCGGTGTCAGAAACCAGCGCTGGGATCGTCACGACACACACACAGCCGCCGATCGTTCGAGGTTGAGCCTTCCACGCGGTGTCAGAGACCAGCGCTGGAGTCGTCACGACACACGCACAGCCGATGGTTCGAGGTTGAGCCATCCACGCGGTGTCAGGAACCAGCGTTGGGGTCGTCACGACGCACACACACACAGCCGCCGATCGTTCGAGGTTGAGCCATCCACGCGGTGTCAGGAACCAGCGCTGGGGTCGTCACGACACACACACAGCCGCCCATCGTTCGAGGTTGAGCCATCCACGCGGTGTCAGAAACCAGCGCTGGGGTCGTCACGACACACACACACACAGCCGCCGATCGCATGAGGCTGAGCCATCCACGCGGTGTCAGAAACCAGCGCTGGGGTCGTCACGACGCACACACACAGTCGCCGATCGTTCGAGGTTGAGCCATCCACGCGGTGTCAGGAACCAGCGCTGGGGCCGTCACGACACACACACACACACACAGCCGATTGCTCGAGGTTGAGCCATTCACGCGGTGTCCGAAACCAGCGCTGGGGTCGTCACGACACACACAGCCGCCGATGGTTCGAGGTTGAGCCATCCACGCGGTGTCAGGAACCATCGCTGGGGTCGTCACAACACACACACACAGCCGATTGCTCGAGGTTGAGCCATCCACGCGGTGTCAGAAACCAGCGTTTGGGTCGTCACGAAACACACACACACACACACACACACACACACACACACACACACTTGCCGTACCGAGGCGCGCTCACCAAAGGGCTTCGCTTGCGGTGGTGCCTGATGGCGAGGGTCGCTCTTCTGCCCTCAGAGGAGCGGCGCGCGAGGCTGCACGCGCGGGGCGACGCCCGGTCCGCGCCCGCGGCCCCACCTCCCCAAGGTCCCCCCGCGACCCCGTTCGGCGTCTGAGCCCAGTCGGCCGCTGGATGGACTCACTTTCGATCGAGCCCATTTGGGGGCCGCACGGGCGCACTTCTCTCGGCCTTCTCGCAGCTGAGCCCGTTCGGCTGCCCATTCGACGGGCAAGCGGGCTCAGAAGAAAGCTGCGCGGCTCATCTGGCGGCGCGGCCCTCCCCGGGACCCCTGCGGCGCCAGTGAGCCCGCGGACGGCGGCGCCGGTGAGCCCTTGCTCGTCTTTTTGCTCGTTTGTTTGCTGCCGCTCATGGCGTGGGGAGACTGGCTGCGCGTGCAGGAGCCCGGGCATTCGGCGCCTCGAGGAGGTTGGGGGCGTTGGCGTCGCGTAATGGGGGGGGCGATACATGGGGGGCAGCGACGGCTGCAGAAAAGTTTCACTTTAGGGCCCCTCGAGGGGCCCTTTACAGCCCAAAAAGGGGCCTTCAAAGCCCGAAAAATACACCCTCCTTCCACCCCATTTTGTCGTCCCCCCAGTAAGCGACTCGGGCTCCGTGGCTGCCCACCAAAAATAGATCTTGGCTGAAGGCTTGCCACTGGGGCCTCGGGGCCCCCCAGGCCGGAATTTTCTTATTGGCAATTAGGACGAAGAAACACGGAGGCTGTTTCGACCCGCAGCTGCAGCTCTCTCGGGCGCGCCAAGGTCCTGGTTTTTCAGAGTCCTCGTTTAGGAGGGCCCGAGGGGCACGGTCGAGAGAGGTCCTGGGGCCCGCGCATCGAATAACATCGAAGCGTCGGATGTCTGGGAGTGGCCCTCGGCCAGAGTGACCCTTGGTGCGAGCCCACTGGGGTCTACGGATCGTTTCATGCAATGTGACTGCAGCAACTCGCGCGCTTGGGCTTGTCCCCCCCACTGCGCGCCAAAGGCCACTGGTGTCTGGGGTCACACCTGCACGCAGCCGAGAGACGAGCTGGGTCTTCCTGTAGGCTTCGCATGTTCACAGGGGCCCTTCCTGAACCCGGGGGCCGTCAAAAAACAGCTCAGGATGACAAGCTATTATTGGGAAAGGGCCTCGGGGCGGCCCAGGGTCAGGGACCCGTTTCATCCGGGACACGTTTCTCTCATTCCTGTTGTTCTCACGACCAGATGGTCGCCAAGCTCCTCGAGGTCTCCAGGGCGTCGACCCTCCCCAGATATGGACAAAGCGTCCGCATTCCCCAGACCACTGACGACTCGAAGAAAGCGCGCCGACGGTTGTTCACACTTCCTGGCTTCTGGGGGGCCCTCCCCTTTCTTCTCCTCCCTCCCTCCTCATCCCTGCTCCTCCTGATCCTCATACTCGCTCTCCTCTTCCCTCTCTCTCTCCTCTCTCTCTCTCTCTCTCTTTCTCTCTCTCTCTCTCTCTCTCTCTCTCTCTCTCTCTCTCTCTCTCTCTCTCTCTATATATATCTTTAACTGTATATATATATATGTATGTATATGTATAGATGTATATGTATGTGTATGTATATATATATATATATATATATATGTGTATGTCTCTCTCTCTCTCTCTCTCCCTCTCTGTTTCTTCTCTCGCTCTGTGTAGATATGTGTTGGCATCTAAATGTACATATATGTATATGTACATGTGTATGTGTATCCGTCGTTTCTCCTTGCCTCTCTCCTCGTCCTCTCCAGACCGCCAACGTCTAGAATGAAACGCGAGGCTCGTCGCAACATTCTGGCCTTCAGGGAGGCACCCCCAGGCCCCCAGGAAGCCTTGGTCGATACCTCTAAGGGCTGGCGGCGATTCGAGAGCAGATCGGGTCGGAGGTATTGGGGCAGCGTGCGCTTGCGTGCGTACTTAGGCGCAGATACGAGGAGAGGGCGGGGGTGATGTACAGATCTCGCCCGCCCCCCTCCCGCACTTGATTCACCAGAGAAGAAAGAACCACCACCACCAGCTAGGCGGGCTGGCCGCTCCCCCTCCCCCAGCTGGTAGCACCCCGTTCCGGACGAGCCCTCGAGAGTGCCCAGAACGGAGTGCCACCAGCTCGGGGGCGGTGGCCTTTGGGAACGGAGTTCTATGGGATTCTGGTGGTAGTGGCACTTTTTGCTCTGGTCGACGCGGCCACTGCGCCACCGAATCATCATCCGTCGAATTAGGAAGAGCGGCGTGAGTATAATCTTTCGTACCTTCGCGACGATTTTTCGTGGGTCGATGCTTGCCCCTCTGGCGGCGCCGCCCCTGGCGCGCTCCGCCTCTGATTGGGGGGTGCAGCGCCGATCCGGCTGTTTGAGTTTATGCTGTCATTCTCTGGGCGCATCGCTCGGGCGTGTGCGCTTCTTGTCTCGGCGAGGACTACCGAGGAGCATCCTGAATCATCTGGCGACGCATGCACGCGGGAGACCGAAAAATGCACGGGGAATGGACGTCCGAGCGATGGCAAGTTGTCTTACACTGCTCTAGTTCAGAGTTGGCCGTTGCCACACGCACGGCCCAGCACAGCGCATGGCGTGTTGTCTTGCGCAGCAGATGCCCGGAGCAGGAAGGCACCCGCCACCGCAGCTCCCGCAGGCCCGATTGCAGCCGCCGCCCGTGCCTCCGTCCTTCTGAAAGGTCTTTTGCGTCTTCTGGGAAGGCTCAGAATTTGTTTCTGAAGGTTGGGGGACTTCCGAGCCTTCTGAGAAGGCCCGCCCCTTCTCACTTCTCCCTGGGCACGCCGCCGATGAGGATACGGAGACATCCAGCGGCTCGACATTTTCCTACACTTGGGCCCCGAGACCTATCTCAGTGTGTTCGGGTCGGGTGTATATCAGGAGGGGAAAAAAACACACACACACACACACACACAAACACCAATAACCGCCGATTCCCACGAAAATATGGAAAATGTGGGAAGTGGAGGGAACGACGAACATCCAGGAAACATTGAAAATATGCAGAATCCTGCGATTCGTGTCTATTCATTTGCGTGTCTCTGGGACCCTTCAGTGCAGTGGGGAGCGATGAGGGGGGGTGAGGGGGTCGAGGGCTGCAGGAGAAGGGCCCTAGAGGGGCCCCCTGGGGCGCACGAAAACTGCAAAGTTCTTCACCCATCCCGTTTGCGGGCGAGCATCTGGTCAAGAAACCTCCTCCCGAAAAGCTGGGCCCGCGTTTCTCGGCCAATTTTCCAAAGAGCTGGCCCAGTTTCTAGCCTCCAGCTGTGATGGAGTTCGAGCTTTCAGGGTTTAGGTTCGAGGTTTCAGGGTTTACGCTCCGTGCTGCGCGTCGCGCTCAACGTTCGAGGAAGAAGGAGCGCCGCAAGGCAGCCAAGCAGGCTAAGGCTGATGCCGCGCGGGCTCCCCATGATTTGCCTCCTGAAGATGTTTCCCCTGACGGTGTCGCAGCTGGCCGAAGCGCGGGTCTCGGGGGAGATCTTGCCGCAGCGCCCGCTCTGGCGTCACCAAGTCCTGCAGCTGGCGCTGATCCGCCTACGCAGCCAGCAGGACTGCCTCTAACTGAGCTCCCCGCCCGTGGCGGAGCTGACGGTGTGCATAATGACGATGGCAGTTGCCACACCTTGCGGGCTTCTTCATCCCACACTTTGCGCCCCGGAGACCTGGTTTCTGTGACATCGGCAAGGATGTACCGGAGCCAGTTTGCTGCCGATCCCAGGGCCACACCTTACAGGGCTGGCCGCGGTGGGACGAAGGGCGGCAAACCACCTGAGCGTTGAAGTTGGGCGCCTGCTCACTTACGCTAAGGGTTTCTGTGCACGCGAATGCAGCTTGGGCGGTCTGCAGTTGATGTGCAATTCCATTTCAGTTTTGCTGTCTGCGTTTATGTCGCCATGGTCATCCTTCCCTCTGGTATCAACGCAATCCAATGAGCTCGTGCCTCGTCGACTGCAAGATGGGCTCGGGCTTCGTATTCACACGCACCTTCGACTTTGTGTTGAAGTTATCCTTGGACTCCCGCTAGCTCGGACAGCGTCCCTAGCCCGATCAGGCGCTACCCCTTCTGAGCCCAATGTAGCATCGAGGCAGGCTTAGCCAACCTCTCTTTCTTTACAGTGGCTGGGCAGCCCCCAGTCTTTCTCACTATAGCATTCGTTTCATTCACGAGAGAGTTGGAGCCAAGACTCACGACATTCGTGGTCCGTTACCGGGTTGGCTCAAGGCAAACAGGCATCCGCTGTTCCTGTTGCTGCCACAGTTGGTAGCGGAGCGAGGCTGGCCATGGCCGAGGCGGGCAGCGCGGCACGCATCTAGGCGACTGGCGGCGGGCACGCGCGGTTCCTACGGCCGGGACGGTCTCGCTCGACGAGACGTGCAGTGTGGGATCCACGGCAGGTGCCGGCATGCCGGCAGACGAGGAGACATACGCGGCGATAAGCGCCGGCGCTCCAGGTGAAGGGGGTCAACCAGGAGCGCGGGAGACTCAGGAGTCAGCAGCCCCGCCAGCTGTGGAGGCACTCGCTGCCCAAGCGCAGGAGCTGCGGAAGTTAGCGCAAGGCATTATCGACAGCAGGACGGCTGCCGGCTCTCGAGCGACGACGCAAGCCAGCGGCGGCGAGACACGGCGCCCGGAGGGCGCCGACCCGTGGGAGGAGCCAGACTTTTGGGGCGGCGGGCAGCGCAAGGGCGACGGCGCCGATCGAGATGGTGACAAGTGGGCTGTCGGCCGCGACAAGAGTGAGCGGGGCGACCAGCCGTGGACGGGCCAAGCCGGACGAGGCGAGTGGCACGACCATCAGCGGCAGGTGCCCCCCTGGGGCGGGCAGGCCCGCGGTGATTTCACGGGTCCCCCAGCCTGGCCTGGGTGGACACGTTATCGGCAGTGGAAGTAGCCCGTGCGAAGGTGGGATCGCGGCACGGACGTCGCGCTGTGGCGGGGTCCGAGAAGTTCCGCGGACTCTTCGACTGGTCGATGCAGGCGAAGTTCGACGACGTGCCCGACCACCTGCTGACCAGCAACCAGTGGCTCGAGGTGCTGCTCCAGCGAATGGACCTCATGAGCGGCGAGCGCGAGGGAGACGAGCTCCGACGAGTGGGACGCCGAGCTCTATGCGAAGGGGCCCGCGAGGCCAAGGAGTCGCTGACGCAGTACGTTGCCAGGAGGGACCTACAAATTCAGGAAGCTGAGGGGAACGACCTCTGGCTGTCTGGGAAGCTCAAAGGTCCGGTGCTCGAGGAAGGCGCAGGGTCGTCGGCCCAGGGTCAACAAAACATGACGACGCTGACCCAGGGGCAGCACCGATTACAAGCAGGTCGCCTGGGCGCTGCGCCAGATGGACTTCGGCGGCACTGAGCGATTGATGTCGGACCGGTCCACTTCTCGCCCCGTGGTGGCCGCAGAAGTCGGTCAAGCGGGCGATGTTCCAGGCTCTGTCTCTCACCCACCCCCTCCGGGCCCGTTCGGCACGGGGGCCTACCTCGACGAACGACAGGGCGAGGCAGAGTCCGATGGAGGCGAGTCTGAGGACGATATCGAAGACGATCTCAGCGAGGAGGAAGCGCTGGCCATTTTGGCCGAGATAGAGGACCTGGAGCTGAACGAGGACGAGGCCGAAGAGGTCTTTCTGCAGCTCGAGCAGAAGAGGAGGACCTGGAAGCAGAACAAGGACTTGACGAGAGCTGCCAAGCGAGATCGCGAGTATTCTCGGTGCACCGGTCGAGCTGCAGGAGGCGACGGCCGCGGCGGCGGTCGGCGCGGAGCTGGCCGGCGAGGAGACGGCGGTCGAGGACGAGGTCGAGGCGGCTTCCCGGGACGAGGGCATAGGGAACACATGTCGCGCTAGCAGCTGATGAAAGTGACCCGCTGCAAGCGGCGCCGGCAGAAGGGACGTTGGTCGAGAGAGTGCCCCAATCCTCCTGCTGCAGACGACAAGCGGCAGCTCCCGGACAAAAGGAAGAAGAACTTGGCCAGTTACACGCTCACGGGATGCGTTCCCAGCGGACCGCGCCTGCCAGCGGTCACGGGCGAGAAGCTCGAGGCCCTGAAAGAGGCCCAGGAGGAGGTCGACAGCGTGTCCCTGACGACGGCAGCGAACCAGGGCCCGGTGGACCCGGGGGCGGCCAGTTGCATCGCCGGGCGCCCGGCGCTCAACATGGAGTCCCACGAGCTGGCCAGGCGCGGCCACCAGTACGTCCCGGCGCCCGAGTCCGCGAGGCCTCCTCGCAGCGCTCGCGGAGCGGGAGGCCCGGCGAAGGTGATCGCCACAGTCTTTTGTCCCTTCTGTTTGGGAGGTGTTCTTGGCATAGTCGAGACGACGGTGTTGGATGAGGACGTCCTTCACATACTCAGCGTCAATATTCTGGACTTTCTCGAATGCATAGTAGATCTCCCCAGTGGTGTTTTGCGGTCCAGGACCCTGGAGGAGTACATCCCGATGACCAGACTGGGATCAGGACACCGAATGGCCGACATCATCGGCCCCGCGGCCTGGAGAGGCAAGACGCCTCGAGAGGCCCTGAGCAAGCACGCGTTCCTTAGAGCTACTTCCTTTCTGAAGGACGGAGAGCGGACCCAGGAGATGGGCTCGGACGGAACTGTGAGTCAGTACACGCCTCTCTTCTCAATCCTCCTCATGGTCTTACTCGCGGTCAGGGGCACACAGCACCGAGGACTCCAGGGATCCCAGGTGGGCACCATCAAGAACGGCCTCACGCAGGGCCTCGTAGGCGAGCAGAAGGGGACAAAGGGGGGAGGCCATCATGAAGGACCCTCAGCAGGGCTTCAGAGACAAGGCGCGGGGCCTCACGGCCCAGATCAGGAAGACGACCGAGGAGGTCTACCAGCGCGCGGCTCAGTTAGCGGCTCGGGGGCAGGCCCGGGGCTTGGGATCCGGAGACACTGCCGAGGCGGCGCTCAGAGGGCCAGACGACAGCAACGGGACGGTCTCAGAGATATTCCGAGTGGAGACCTCACCTCTAGGTACGTAGCACGTTTAGGCTCGAGCCTCGCTATCTGCTTCCACTACCTCCCAGACAGCAGAGCTTTCTCGGTCGAGACTTTCACTCAGGTCCACGATGGCTGGTCAGAACATCTTGCTGGCAGCACTAATGGCCGGGCTGGCGTCGGCCAGGCCGAAGAAGGAACCAGTTGCCAAGAGGGCCACGGAAGAGTTCCAAGCCAGGCGCGAGGCTGCCCTAGCCAGCGCTGCCCTGGCCAGCGCCGGAGGAGACACCGACGACTCGGCGAGCTCAATGGAGAACTACTGCCACCCACCAGGCAGCGGGAGCGGGCAGGTTCCTGGCGGCGCCGCCGAGGCCCTGAGTCTCGAGCCAGGAGCGACGGTCGGCATCTCGCAACCGACAGCGGCAGGACCGCCTCCCCAGGTGCCTCAGCCGACGCCGTGGGGCGCGGCCGCCTTCGCCTCTCAGCGGCCTCCAGCGATGCAGCCACAGCTCGCGGCAGCACTCGAAGAAGCGCTTCAGCACGAGGTCCAACTGTCGACGGAGGCGGCAGCCGCATCGGCGAAGCCATTGCCACAGACAGCGGCCATGGCAGCTCAGCAGCAGGCGGCGAGGAGCAGCTGAGTCCCGAAGAAGCTTCCGCCCAAGCTGGGCGTTGGACCGACGACAGCCGACGCGCTTCAAGGAACGACTTGGAGCAGCTCCTTCCAACCCGACTCGGCGGGGCTCAGCACGGGCAGTTCCGGAGCGGCAGCGGCAGCGACGGCGGCTATTCCAGCCAAGCCTCCGCCCACGCCAGCTCCCGAGTGCGGGCGTCCACGCGACGCCATCAGATACTACGGCAATCTGCATGGCTCGGGGTCACGGTGCACGCTCTGCGGGGATCGACTGGCCTGGATACCCCG